GCCACAGACTGGAAAGCTTATTAACAAAAAACCCTTAATCCTCACAGCTCTGGAGGCTGGGAAGTCGAGGATCAAAACGCAAGCATGTTCATCTCCTGGGGAGGGCCCTTGCTCTGGTTCATAGTTGTCCCTTTCTTGTAATGTCCTCACATGGTGGAAGGGGCAAGCAATCTCTCTGGGGCCTTGTTTGGAAGGGTCCCAATCCCATTCACGAAGGCTGCTCTCTCATGACCTAAGCAGCTCACAGTGACCTCATCTACTAAAACTATCACCTTTCTTTACAAGGATTCTGCATGTGTATTTCAGGGGTTCACAAATATCCAGACAATACCACTCCTCTAGAGCTTCTGGAGTGAGTACTGTCCTGCTACCACCTTGATTTCAGGCCAGTGACACTGATGTCAGGCTCTGACGTCCAAACTGTAAGAGAATAAATGCGTGTTGATTTGAACCCAAAGAGTGTGCTGTTTGATACAGTGGCAATAGGAAAGTAATAGAGGCTGGGATGTGAGTCTCACATTATCATGGGTCTCCCCACACTGCTCCCTGGTGTGTGATGAGCATCAGCACTGCCCCAGGGACAGGGACACTCTCAGGGCGGTGGTCTGTGTGGACGCACCTCCTCAGGACTCACCACTGAAGTTGGGGACTGAGAGGATGTTGTGCTGGCATAGCCAGTGCTTGAACCTGGCACACATGTCAACCCACGACTTTGTCACCATGTGTCCATGATGCCATGTGTGTGATGTTGGCCAGAGACTTGGAAACAGAAATCCATCCTTGACTTTCAAACACGTACTTCCCCAAGCACAATCCCAGTTTTCAAAGACATGGTGACACCTGGAAGCACAGAGAAATGAGAATTATGTATGGACTGTATGGAGCTATCCCAGCTGAGCCTGCTGCAGAAAACCTGTTCCCTATGACACTGATGAGAAGGGATGCTCAGATCAGCACAGACCCCATGGTGTGGACACTGAGGACGAACACAGACATGGGGAGGGCTCCTCACAGCATCGACAGGGACAGCAGATGAGCTGCTTTTCATGAGCAGAGGAGGGGCCACATTTGCATGCCTTTCCCCCTGTGCCCATGTGTGTGCTGCCCAGCATGGATCATCCCTCCACTGCCTTGAATTCCAGGGAGCACCGGTGGCAAAGTTTACTGGAACAGGATACTCAGGCTTATTCTCCCCATGACACCGTCCTTTTCAGTAATATGGACACTTTTTGTAACTTTATTGTATGGGCACTTTATTCCAAATGTCCTGAACTAAGGTTTTCATCTTGTCTCTCAAGAGCCCATGGTCAGTTCACCCCAAGATGACACTCTGCACTGTTCCCTGTTCCATGTCAGATTGGGTGAGGAAGGGTCACCATGTCTCAGAGAAGTATCTGGGGACTTTGGTGACAAGATGTGACTTGCCGGGGCCGGCCCGTGGCCGAGTGGTTAAGTCCGCGCGCTCCACTGCAGGCGGCCCAGTGTTTCACTGGTTCGAATCCTGGGCACGGACATGGCACTGCTCATCAAGCCATGCTGAGGCAGCGTCCCACATGCCACAACTAGAAGGACTCACAACGAAGAATATACAACTATGTACCGGGGGGCTTTGGGGAGAAAAAGGAAAAAATAAAATCTTTAAAAAAAAAAAAAAAAAGATGTGACTTGCCATTTATGGACCTGCCCCTTGTTTCTCATCCTGAAGGGACAAGTGGTCCCAGGCTTAGGGAGATGTCCTGCAACCTGGGAACAGGTCAGCAGGCTTTGTCCTCTCATTTGGTGGAATCATGGCTGCTGTATTCACTGATGCTTAGTAGAGGGTACACTCAGGGTGGAACAGAACTTTGACTCCAATCACTGGCAAATGTGTCACAAGCATAAGTTATGACACAGCTTTGACTTTGATGGAGAGTAATGTAGGCATCCCATGAAATGTTGGGGACCAAATACAGTTATCTCTTTAAAATAATACAAGACGTCAGTGAGCCGCAACTGGGTTGGCCTAGAAGCCCTGGGATGGAGTGTCAGGAGCTAAGCCCATGATGTGAGGAATCATCTTTGAGATCATTCTCCAATTGTCCTGGACAATAGGTCCTGGCTTCTCTTGAGATGGCTGACATATCTCCCCCTTGTCTTGATGGACAGTTCTTAGGTTTTGTTAAGATGCCCCATCTACACCTATCTCCTGAGGAAATTTGTCCACAGGCTTCTTGCTTTCTCCAGAACAAGACTTCTCCTTCCTTATAATATGGTTAGGTGGAGAATTTTACAAAATTTTAAGTTCTTCTTTTTTTTGATTATTATTTAAGTCAATTGTCTCTTCTCACATTTTACTATTAACAATTCAGAGAATCCAGGATTATCCTTCAACACGTTGCTTAGAAATTTCCACATACAAATATTCAATGTCCTCTCACAATTTCTACCTTGCATAAATCACTCAGAAAAAAATAAAAGCAATTCAACTAGGCTCTTTTCCACTCTACAAGAAGGATCAACTTCCCTCCAGTTTCTAACGTCACATTCCTCATTTCCATCTGAGACTTCATCAAAGTGGCCTTACATCCCACATTTCTATAAATCCTGTGCACAAACATTCTGACATTCTCTAAGGAGACTGAGGTTTTCTCTACAGTTCTCCTCTTTTCTTTCTGGGTCATCACCAGAAATACAATAAACAATCCCTTCTCATAAATGTAGTCATTTTCTAGCATATGTCTCAAAATTCTCCCAGCCTCTACTCTATCCGCAGATCCTAAGACACTCTGCATTTTTAGGTTTTTGTTACACAAACACCCAAAAAACCCACACATTTCAGTACCAATTTATGCCTTAGTCCCTTGGTGTAGCTATAGCAAAACAGCATAAATTGAGTAGCTTATAAAGAAAAATAAATATTTCTTACAGCTCTGGAGGCTTGGAATTTCAAGATTAAGGCACCATTACGTAGAAGTCTGTTGATTGGCTTTGTAGGGGAGGAAGAAATATCCCTTTATCCTTCTAGGTTCTTCTAGCTGATATAAGAATTAAATTGACATGACAGAGAATAACAGGAAAGATGGAACAAAGTGTCATAACATGTATTCTTTGGAGAAACCCAGGAAAACTGATTAAATCACCAAACTGGCCGAAGCCACCTCCTTAAATACCATCTTAAGGTACAGACCATGGAGGATGCTGAGGGAGTGGTTTGGGATGTCAATGAGGGGAAGCCAATTCGCATGGAGACAGAAAAGCAAATATGTGGTAAACAAATGTTTACCATGCCTTGCAGAGACAATGAGACATGGAGAGGACTGTGATCAAATGAGTCTTGCTAGCTTCCTCCATGTCCAGCACACCAAGATCCTATTATAATACCGTTACGTATGGTGATAGCTCCTTCCTGAAACACACTTTGTATCATAAATTCATTTATGCAGTTGGGGAAAGTTGAAAGATTATTCCTTACTCTATGTTTTTTAAAAATAATCAAGCCAAAGAGACACATTCAGTGGTAGCAAATTCTGCATTTCAGCGTCTGCTTTCTGGTTCATACACAGTGTCTTTACGTGGTGGGAGGAAGAGGGAAGGAAGTTCTGTGGGGTCTCTTTATAATATCAGAAGCCCATTCATTAGGGCTCCAACTCATGACACAATCATCTCCCTAATGTTCCACCTCCTAAGACCATCATATTGAGCATTAGCTTTCAACATATGAATTTTTGCGGGACAAGCTTTGGACTATATAACAGGGCAAATTTTTGACACAAAAGTAAGGTACAGACAGGGATGTTCAGGGAATCACCACTTGCAGGAGCAGAAAGTGATAAGAATAAACCTCTACGGGAACCATGCTGGGTAGGAAAACCTGAACTCTAGTTGTTGAATTGTTGATGGCTCAGTATGTAGAGATCTGAGTTAGAAAAGCTGGGGGATCAGCATTATGAGATCCTGATAGTAATATGTTTTACCTCCAGCTGCCCTGTCATGTTCTCACAGTAAAGATCACAGGGAAATTCATTTTCACAGGAAATTTCATTTCATTTTAGTAAAAGGAGGGGGTAGGAGGTCATTTCAAGATTTATCAGAACATTCAGCTCTTCTTAACAAGGACTGCTCTCAGACAATCTAATTTATGATAACCTAATCTGCTGGGCTTTTCTCAGAGCAGTGTTGACCTGGGGGAATGAAAATTCCCTCCTCCATCCCACACCCTCGTAGACTTTCCGTCTCAACAAAGGGAGGAGGCAAACCAAGAAACTACTGTGAAAGTCACATCAGAGGTACAGGCTCAGGGATAGAATGACCAATCACAGGACCAGAGATGCCTTACCTACCCCACACTTACCCCTGCAACCAGAGGGGTATTGTATAATAAGTAGGCCAAGACCTTCAAAGACAGAATGCACTTGAGAAGTCACTTAAGCAAATCTAGGGAGACCCAGAGTCAACAGAGGAGATAAAAGCAAGGACCACAGTGGAAATTTTAGCTCAGACTATGGCTATCTTTTCATCATCTTTAAACTGTCCTTCCAAGAGAAAAAGTTTTGCATTTTGAGTCCAACTTAATATTTATTTCATGGGTCATGCTTTTGTATTAGGACATTTGTTTTTGATGTAAAATTTTTCTTCTAAAGCATACATTTTAGCCTCATATTCCACTTTCAGTACCACCATAGTTTCTGCCATCACTGTTGAGATTAGTTTTCGAGCCTCACTCTTTGTCTGAACTTTGGTGAGAGATGTGGCAAGAGCGATTAGGGCTCCAGTCTGACTGAGTCAGTGTTTAGGAGAGATCCAGTGAGAATTGAGACATAGGAAACCGAGGGCGAAGGTGGGTGGGTTTCTGTGGGATGCTCGAGGGAAGCAGAGACTGGGCAGGGATCAGGACTCTGTCCAGCTGGTCCTCATAAGCCATTTAGGTTTTTCTATGAAAGCTGAGAGACAGACCGTGGCTGCTTTCAGAGACTCATCCAGAACAGGACCCAGAATGAGTGTCACGTATTTCATCTTTTTGCTTATATGCCTGTCTGTTTCATGGGAAAAGCTGAAGGCTGCATCCCTTCAGGTGGGCTGCTTTTCCATACAGGAGAATGAAGGGCAGCCACAGAAGGGAGCAATCCCTGATCATCAATGTCCACCTAAGTAGATAATGAGCAAGAGCTTAAACTGTAGCGGGGAGAACAAACAGCCCCATGGTGTGGATGTCCTAGAGGGACTCTCATCACAGGTGATGTCAATGTGGGCCCTTCTCAGGGCAGAGAACATGCGCTGGTGGTTCTCAGGGACGATGAGAATCTTGTTTGTTGTTTTTGTCAAGACAGAAAATCAGAAAAGCTAGGAACTTGAAAGAAAGATCTCTAGTCAGTGGAGAAATCTCGACTTCAAGAGAGAATGTTACCTCCTCCTTTGTTGGCTGCAGTGAGCATATGAGGCATTTGAGCCAGAAGAAGAAAACAAGAAATGCCCCTGAGGCTTGGGGAGGAAATTCCCGATCTCACTGAAAGATTCTTCCCCAGCCTCCTCCGTATCTGCTCCTGGGTGTACTCTCTGTGCTCTGTGGGTCTTAGCACTAGTTGGTGGTCCTGAGTGCCACCTGGTGGTCTTGAGCACCCCCTACAGCTCAGACCCTCCTGTCTCCCTGCAGGAAGTTTGTGTCTGGGCTCATGCTGACTTCCTCTCACTGTGTCTGTCGCACAGTAATACACGGCCGTGTCCTCAGTGGTTACTGAGCTCAGCTGCAGCAAGAACTGGTTCTTGGAAGTGTCTCTGGAGATGGTGATGCGGCTCCTGAGGGATGGGCTGTAGTTAGTTCTACCACTATAGCTTATGCTCCCCATCCACTCCAGCCCTTTGTTTGGTGGCTGGCGGATCCAGTTCCAGCCATAACCACTGGTGATGGAGTAACCAGTGACAGTGCATGTGAGGGACAGGGTCTGTGAGGGATTCGTCTGGCCTGGTCCTGACTCCTGCAGCTGCACCTGGGAGAGGACACCTGGGGACAAAGAAAATAAGTCTCTGTCAGTCACATGCACTCACAGCCATTCCCACTGACCCAGGCTTACAACAGAGACACTCACCTTGGGGAGCCGTCACCAGGAAAAGGAGAAGACCCAGCCTCCTCATCTTCTTCCAGACTACACTCTGCCTTCCTGAGAGACCTCGGCCCTGTCTGAGGAGACAGCTGTGAGCTCCCAGAAACTGAGTGGATTTTACTCTAGACCTTGAAGAGAAATTTGCATGTGGGGAGCCCTGTCCTTATAAGTGGGTAGGAGCTGAGCTGAGGCTCACCCTGGTCCTTCCAGAGCCCCTGTGGGTGTCTCTACACTTGAACTTATGTTCTGTATAAGCCAGAGAGGGGAAAGTACTGGATACTAGGTATTTGAGAATCCTTGGGAACAAGTCAATTTTGGTTCTTAACTTCTTGTGCCCAGACTCTTTCCTTCCAGGCCCTCCTTCCTCCTCCCCTTTCCTAATCTCAGCTCAACTCTCCCCCATCCACTCAGGGCCTGGGTCTCCTTCCTCAGTCCTGAGCCCAGCACAGCTGCCGCGTAGTTTCCCTGTACCCTCTCCTGGGATGGAGTTCTCATTCTCTTTAGAAGTTGTTACATTGTTATATTGTGGTTGTTGTATGAGATATTGGTCAGCTTTTTGCTGCACCCATCCTACACCTTCATGTTTTAAGCTGGACTTTATAGCACCTCATACACCATCAACACACAGCGTCTATAGTGAATCATGGGTTAGCTGTTTCCAACCTGTTTTATTTCCTCTCTTTTGCTCACAGAGGCAAAGAATGGGGTTCAAGGGAGCCCCTTGTGGGGATAAACACAACTTCCACACACACACTGTTCCCTGGACATTTCCACAGTGGGTCTGTGCTTTGATAATTAGTTTTTTCCTGAGGATAGACATGTTAGTAGAGAAGGCAAGATTCTAGATTAAATGTGTGGTCAGGAAACATGATTGAGGCTATGAAAGTCAATAATTGATACTTTTTATTATTAAATAAGGGCACATGGTGACATGGATCCTTTACACTCTAGAGGAAAGGTAATCAGGTACGACCATTTTAAGAGCTATTTGCAAGTGTTGAAGGAAGAAAATCACAAAATTAATCATAAATTCACTTTTTGGATATAGTTCTATTCACTTATTCTCAGTGACCAATCCATGATGTCTGAAGAGTTTTATTTCTAGTCACTGTTACTCTGGAAGATAAAATAAAATGAACTCCAGGACCAGTCACTTCTCACATATGTGGTGCAGCAATTACAGGTGGAAGTGCAGTTCTGCCATGGCGATTTTGTCGCCACTTCCTTAATGTGAGGATGGACCATGACACCCATCCCCTCAATGTCTGACTCGTGCTGGCCATGTTGGGGAGCTTGGGATTTGTCCTCAGCCCTGAGGGGTCAGGGGATGTAGCTGGGAGTCTGGCTCCGGGCCAGCATCCTGGGTGGGATCTTTCAGTCCTGAGCACAGGCACCTCAAGTGTTTCTCCTGGAGGACATCATTGGGGGAAGCAGCCCCGTACGCGACCTGGTGCAGAACTGGCTGTGACAGTTTTCTGGAGGGAATTCCACTCAAGGTGGCAGCCTCTCCCCATGAGCCCAGCCATGCTTATGTCCATGTCTGCACCCCCAGCCCAGGTGCTTACACCAAGACCTCCTATCAGGGACCTTGACTCAGACACTCTTCTCCACTCCAACTCCATCCATTTCCACCCCCAGCCCTTTCCCCTGGGCCCAACTCCTGCAGCTGCACCTCAACAGGACATCTGGGGACAAGTCCCTGTCCATCACATGATTCACAACCATCCCAATAGACTCATGTCTGACATCTGAGACACTCACCTTGGGGAGCCATCACCTGGGACAGGACACCTGGAGACTGAGAGAAACACGATGAGCCATGTGCTCACTTGAAGCATCTCCCTGTGTGCATGGCTGAATCCGTGAGACACACTCATCTGAGAGCTGCCACCAGAAAGAGAAAGAACCACATCTGAGCTTGCGGGTGAGGTCTGTGATTCCAGAAAACATTTCCCACAGTGAGGAAGATCAAGACTTTAAGTGAACATGTACAGTAGCTTCATCTAGTTGTCTCAGTAATGATTGTCATGTGCTGGTGTCTTTGTATGTAAAGATGAAAGGGAACACAGGGAGGTTTCTGTCTCTGAGGCTCCTCCTGAGAGGAAGATGCTGGCTGTGCCCCCAGAGAACTCAATCTTACCCTGGGGTCCCCCTCACCATGCCCAGAGTTCTTTTATTCCAGGTCAGAAAAAGTGCAGAAGGAGCTGGTCAGTGAGCTGGATGGGGCCAAGGATCAAAGACGGCTTTGGAAAAGGGTCAACACACCTCTCCTCCCATAGATGTATGTGTTAATCAAATACCCACCATGTATCCTGGATCCTCTAAATTATTAGATACTGTTACAATCATTTTCCCATTTCCATTAGAACATGTTTAAAGTCCCTAGAGCAACTCAGTTATCTTGGGTGAACATTTCCTCATATGAGAAGTGTTCACAATCATGTGTGCCCATGGTTGCCATGGAGGGGAATCTGTCCATGTTGAACATTCATGCAGCTTATTTTGGGCACAGGGTGAACATTTTTGCGTATACAGTATCTATTCGTAGCATTGTTGAAATAGCCATCATCCTTAATATTGCTTATCTTGGAGAAGCTGTTTGGGTGAGAATATCCTGGGCCTGCAGACTGTTTCCTTAAGGAAGAAGATTGAGGGGTCTAAATTCATTTTAGGGTTTGAAATAGAGACAGCTCTTGGAAGGCCCTCGTCTCACTGATGCTGACTCAGTGACTGGGTCTGCTGTACACACTCACATATCCTAGAAGTATCCATTTATTATCAATAATGATGATTTATGGATCCACTAAAATAGTTTTCACTATACCAGGATGTAGGACTTCATGGTTCTTGGCAATAGAGCTGCACAATGAATCATTTGCATGATAGGTAAGCTTAGCACAGCCAGAGTGAAACTTCATACCCCAGAAACTAGGTCCCTTAAGTTATCCACCTGAGAGTTTCTGTTTGAGTCCCTGTGTCATTGACTTCTGGGTTATGTTTGAAACCTAATGAGTATGTAGTGGTGAAGAGTAGAGCTCAGCTCCATCTTCCTCACAGTGCAACTCTGAGGATGTGACCTCATCATTCTTGTCTCTAGGCTGTAAAGATGTAATTTGGGAATCACAGTAATAACTTTATCTGTGAAGTTTATAGTAGGGACTCAGCACTGCTGGATATTATCATCACTATTATCAGTGGTACTATCTCCCTCGGGAACTGGAAACGCCCTCACCTCAGGTTGCACAGGGAAACCGTGCTCTAGTCCTGCTTGACGTGTCACAGATGTGCAACTGGGGCAGGTCAATCCACACCTAACCCAGTGCCATCACATGGAGGGATTTAGATCCATTTGTCACTGAAGATCCCATTTTTCTATATTAGTACGAAAACAGAGCCTTGAGTGCAACACATTATCACCTAGCTGTTTAATAATATTAGTGGAGTGAATTGAATAATAAATAATCCTCATGCTTGAATGTAGGTAATAGAAGAGTCACCAGAAGCTGGACGAGCGAGATTAATAGGACCATTATTAACCATCTGGTTAGGACTTGGACAAGCAGGCTCACCTGCTGTGGGACAGTGGAAGGGATGAGACAGCATCCAACATCTGTTCATCTTGAATAACTGAAATTTGTTACACACTGAGCAGCTACCAGCCATTAACACCTCCCCCCATCATGTAGCAACCACCATTCTGCTCTGTGCTTCTGAGTTTCACTATTTTAGATACATCATATCAGGGAAATCTTGCACTATCTGTCCTTGTGTGAGTGGCTTCTTTCACTTAGTGTGATGTCCTCCTGGTCCATCCATGTTGTCTCATGTTGCAGGATTTCTATCTTTACTCAGGTGAATAATATTCCTTTGTATGAACATATCACATTTTCTTTATACATTCATCTGTCAGTGGACATTTAACGTTGTTTCCACATCTTAGCTATTGTGAATAATACTGAAATGAACATTGGAGTGCATTTATCTCCTTGAGATCCTGATCTCAATTCTTTGAGATATATAGAAAAAAGTGGGGTTGCTGGATCAGCAGTAGTTCTATTTTTAATTTTTTGAGGAAGCTCCATACTGCTTTCCATAAGGGCTGTACCAATTTACATTCTCACCAACATTTTACAATGATTCCCCTTTTTCTCCACTCTCACCAACACTTGTAGTCCTTTTTTTTTTATCATAGCCATCTTTTAAGGTGTGAAGTGCTATCTCATTGTGGTTTTGATTTACATTTCCCTGATGTTTAGTGATCCTGAGCACCTTTCATTTACCTGTTGGTCGGAAGACAAGAGTAGGCAATTCTCCAAAAAGTAGTGAGCTTCAAGAGGAGAAGCTTTTGGAGGTCACCATGATTCACAGCTCAAGATGAACCAATCACTGGTTGAGAGGGAGAGGGAAAGATGGCGGTGGGCATCATGTTGAGGGATTGGCAAGGTCCCCCCCATGGCTGCTGAGGTTCCGCTTGAAAAGAGGTGAGAGTATGAACTGTGAATGGAGTGTGGACTAATGGGTCATTGAGGCCAGATATTTGAGGATTATTTACTGCCTTTGTGGGTTTCATTGTGAAAGTGAAAGGAATCCTGAGCTACACCTGGAACCACAGGAATGTTCCTGGGTAATATTCAGTCCCGTTTAGTTTGGTGTTGCTGGATATACAGGAGATTCACTATCCCATTGTTTTATGTGACAGGTCCAATTGTAAGCTCTGTTTCATCCATAAGGGATATGAATGGAACTTACTCGTTATGTAGTGATGAGTTCATGAAGTTCTGGGGGTACAAGTCAAGGATTTGGAAATCTGTGATTGGAAAGGTGGATGTAAATAACTAACATAAAATAACAGAATATAACAAAAACACTTAGTGTTCTAAAGAAGCATAAATTTTCTCCTCAGCCAGTCCTTAAAAACCACAGAATAATTCAAATCATTACCCTGTTAGATTATGAGCCACCTCAGCGTAAAAAGTTAGAAAGTGGCCAGCCTCCTGGATGAAGTCTCATTCTTCCCATCAGGGTTCTGCATCTCTGTGGACATGTGACATAGTTCTTATAAGCATGGCAGGAGAA